ATAGAAAAATAGTTATTTATAGATAAACTAGCAAAAGTTGCCTTAATTCTACTTTGGTACTAGGCAACTCATCAGTGGGCACGTCTACACGTGCAATTAAACTTAACGAATAAACTCCGGTGCAATTTGAGCTGAATTAAACTAATCCTGATATAATCATATACATGTGCATTTAAGCGCAGTAATTTACTTCGTCACCGGATAGTACTTGTGTCTGATGGGAGTATCCAATGGCACTGTACATTAGACTACACTGGCCCAGTTGCCATGCACATGTAGACCATGACACTTTACTGCACAGTAAATTAGTCTGCTGAGCACTACAGTGAACATGTAGATGCACCTAGTTTCACGAACAGCAAGCTTGTTTAAAAACAGCTACCACTGGTATTATTTACTGAAACTTGATATGTGCATCGAGGTAGAGAGAGAACTAATAACTATGTTGATGTACACAGCTTGTCATTTATCTGAATATTAGTTACTTCAACGCCAAAACTCAGGGGTCACACACAGAGATTGTGGTAGGTCGAGAAAGATCCAAAACACCTAACAAAAATCACAATAGAAGACACACTGTTTCTATTGAGTTACATCAAGAACAAGAGGAAGAAACATAAGAAGGAATTAAAGTTTCAAAGAGGAAGAATAAATTGATGTGATAAATACACTTAAAAGAAAATAAGGACAGTGTAAACTACAATACTTCAACTTTTCTTCCGTAAAAGCAAAGCAAAAGAACAAGAGACTATCACCATCAGTCACATTTAGGCTCAATTCTATGGATGCTCTACACTTGCCTGCACAGTTAGACTTATTTCTCTTTATTGTGAGGAGGATCATATCTTCTTGTGTCTTCTGAGCCAGTACTGTCAGCACTTCTAGGATATGTCTGCAATGCAGTGATCACCAATCATGTAGCTTTCATCTAGTAGCCTGGTTTAAACTAGTACTTCTGGATAAATATTCAAGTGGTTAGTCCATACTGTGTTCTGTGTAGTAAGAGGTACACTGCTAGTAATATATAAACTACCTAGTTATAAACTGATTTGAGTATGACCACACAAACTCCAGTTACTATAGTATAGACATGCTTGCCTTGTAGTTAAGACAAGTAACACTGAAGATGAAGGAAAATACTACAGAAAGTCAAGATAAATTTATTCATGACATTTAAAAAAACGAGCTGCTGTGAAAATGGCAGAGAAAGTGAAATGGGTTTTAGGTTCTGCAACATGTTGGCCATCTCATCATGCTATCACACAAAAGGCTGTATGTTCAATCTTTATCTTATCTGTTCTATATAATACAATCTTGTAATAGTATCTTAGAGGAAAGAGAAGAAGACAACTACTTATTGATTACGTGACCTGCTAATATAAAGTAACCCTTTAATGAATCTACTGAAAACACTGAATGATTTTCTTACAATGACATATTATCAATCCTTTTCAAAAGGTAAAAGAATCATGATTTTTCTCCTGTTTTTCCATCATCCCCTGATCCTATGCATCTTTGGAGATCACATGCACAAAAATATAAATCTAATTCAAATAATATTACTTCAGTAAATATTCCATGTTTGCTGCTTTATGAGGTCACCATACACCATTGCATGTGAAACATTTGGAACTAACTTGCCCCCGCTGAAGTTACTGTGAAATTATTATTCAATTCTTGAGGAGCAGGAATTGACTTATATTAACATGTAGACAAACACTTTAATCCACACTGAAAAACAGATGAATAGAAAGAGGTTCAGAATGGGCAGAGACTTTTAATAAGATCCTGGCCCTATTGTAGTTTATAGGAATTTTGCTTTGACTTATATGGAACCAGGATTTCACCCTGAAAAGGTGACTCCAGGTGTTCCCTCAAAGTAACGAACAAGTCTCACTCTTTTCTTAGAAGACACAGCAGCCCAGGGAGGAGGTTGTTGTGATTCTTACTCCTTCTTTATTGAACAGCATATCAGTGAAAACATTTATCCAGGAAGTGGGAGACAAGGATCAATTCCCCTAGGCTAAATTTTGCATAAGTGTGTAAGTGGCCTTAGATGCCTAAACATGCTCACCCTGCTTGACTCCCTCAACACTGTTAATTCAAAAGGTGAATGGGTTCTCTTCCTCCTGGCTTTTTCTCCCATGCCTCTTAAGAGTAAGATGATAGCATGTTACAGAAGTAGATACAGTAATGGATTTTCAGGGACTCGAACAGGGTGGAAGAGAATTATACTTAAGTGTTTAAGTCCACTTGGATACTCAAGAGATAAAACAGCAGGTGATAGGCTCTACAAGACACTGAGAAAGTTTTTAAAAGGTGGTGATTGAACTACTTGAGAAAGAAGGTACTTTTCAGTATAAGGATGATCAAGGTAACCCACAAGCCTAGTTGTACCCATTTTAATATTTTGCAGTTTAGTGTAGCCTTATAAACTGGCTGAGAGTGACAATTTCATAGAAATGAGAATGATTTCCTTTTCATTTTATTAAAAATAAGTGTTAGCACACGTTGTGTGAAAGACAGCAACTTTGAATTCCAGACATTTTTTACAGAGGAATGATCCTCACCTGCAGCATTCAGTAATGCACAGATTTGGAGTTCTTGATTCAACTTGGTTTCTAGTTTAAGGGAAAAATAAAAGAGGTATAAGAAAATGTTTCATTTGACTCCATTAGTTGAGATTTTATATTGCTTCTGGTGCCTGCTACATCATTTTATCTTGTTCTATGATTTACAGTTGTGCGTTGGTGAGTCATGGGAAGCCAGATTTTTCATGCCCACTATTTTAGAACTTTATTGGCAGCAGATGAAAGACTAGTAACTCTTCTGAGGGATGTGTTTCTATAAACTTTGATCTCCTTTAGGATAGTAACATAAGTTTTGTCACTGGTGGTCAACGTTCTCTAAGCCCTCAAGGAACTTTGCTTCTTCCATTTCTTTCCTGTGCTGCATAGTATTGAACAGGTAAGTTGCCTTTTGTGGCTCTTGAGGCCTTCTTTCATTTTTTTTCCTTCAGATCCTCTTATTTATCCCATGGCAACATTCAGTAGACAAAATCAAAAATCTGTCTCCTATAGTGCTCTATCATGTATTTTTAACTAAGTTCTTTTGTGCAGAGAGAAATAATAAGCACTTAGATTCTTGCCTCTCTAGCTGTGCCTCAACCTCCCTATTTAATCCTTTTGTTTATCATCTGTGCCTTTCTACCACATGCTGTTTAAAGATGCTCCTGTTCAATACTTTTTACCCAACATCTTCAATTCATGTTTCTTAATACATTACTGAGGGTTTGAGAATGCTGTGATCACACAGGGGTCTGAGTAGGCGCACATGGTGTCTGCTATCTCATTCTCTCTCTCTCTGTCACCGGACAGTGCCCTTCCAGATTGTGGTTCTGAGGCTGTGCACCCAATATACTTCTAAACAGAATTGACGTGGTGTAATCAGAACCTTGACTCCTCTCCTCTTTGTGCTTCTTTCCCTTCCTGAAACAAGGGAGGGAGCTATGATTGTGTACTATAGTGGACTACCCCTTAACACAGGGTTGAACTTAAGTCTTGGTCAGGTTGTAATGAGTAACCATCAATGTTTCCTCTCTAAACTCTGTTGTGTTTGTATTGCACATGAGATTACTACAAAATTCAGACTTTTCTCAAAACTGTCTGGTTTTGCTGCAAGATCATTGGTACAGTATAAATGTTTATTTCTGCACTGCATTAGTGATGGACTCATATGTTTCCTTGTGTAAAAAGTGCCAAGGTCTGGAAAAGGTATTTATAGTATTGTTTCTGGCAATACATTGTATGTAATCAAACAACAAAAAACAAATGCAAACAAAAAGCAAAACAAAAGCCTTGATGAACATAATGTTATTGAGCACGTGTACTGATGCACCTTCCTTAAATATTCTCATATACCTGTCTAATTTCATAGTTTTCTCCTTACTTGAGGTATTGGCACATCATTTTAGAATTAATATAGTACATGTTTTAGAGGTAAGAAAAAGGGCTCAAATGAATTGCAAGACCTTGTCTTTTCCTGAACTAAGTGTGTGTATGTATCCTGCATAAACAGTGCATAAATATTTTATGAATCAGACCCTTAATTTTCACAATTTCAGATGCATTTATAAACAGGTGCCCTCCTCCAAAATGAAAAGCACCTTCTGTTTCTCTCTCCTAAATAAAACATAAGCATTTTCATTTAACCCCTTCATCATTTGAAACTTCTGCAAGCATGGAATTAACTTCCACTATTAAATTTCAGATGGAATTATAGTTAGATGCTGTGACGTACAACTGTAGACTTAGTTTGTATTCTTGCTCTTTCTTAAGAAAAAAAATCTACGTATATCAAATAAGAATGATTATGCAATATTGTAGAGAAAGGACTAAAAAATCTGTATGAAAAGGTATACCAAGGACAACAGCAATGCACAGTTCTACAGAATGCGCTGCCAGCATGCCTCAACCTTTTTAGAAGGTTTAGTTCTTGGTCTCTCTGCTCATAAAGCCATAAAAAGATGTTAGTTCATGAAAAAATGCTTTAGGTGGGTAGGTAGGAATTGTGATGAGGTTACTTGTCCAAAAGGACCTGGAATTAGATCTTAAAACTTATTTCACATAAGTCGTCAAACAACTATCAGAGGATAATGACTTTCTGCCAATATATGCAAGGATCTGATTTAAAGTAATTACCAGCAACTGATTGATTCAGGCCCACAGAAGTCAATGGAAAGAGCCCTTTTATCTTCCATGGACATTGAATCAGCTGCCTAGAAAAAAAAAAAAGCTTCCCCTATCCCTGAAACATTTATTTCCTCTGCTTGACTTACTTTAAATTTAGGTACATGAATGAAACAGTCAGAACTCTTAAAAGCTATGTACCACTTATATGCTGAACTTAATTTAAAATAAATTTTGATTTGAATACAGACAGATTTTAAGCTACTTTGAATTAATGACTGTACTATGTACTGCAAAATAAATATCTACACATGTAATTAGCTATCTCTTGGAGGAAAAAAGAAAGATGGTTATCTATTATCATGAAACCATTTATTGCATTTTAGCAATATTTTTTGTCCTCTGGCAAAGATCAATGCACAAATAATACAACATTTTGATCTACATTTCAAAAGGGCAAAAAGTTTCCTGTGTGCTTTATTTAGGTAATTTGTCATTAGGTTTCTCTTGCTTGTCAGCTATTAATGCATAAGCTGATATTTTTCTTTAATATTTATCATCAAAATAGGATGTGGGGAGAAGACAACAGTCATCAGTGATATTCTGAAAATGAAGACAAGATGTCTTCTCAAACAAGGCTAAACAGATGATGTTGCTTTAGAAGTTCTTTTGAAACAAGATAATTGGAAGACTTCTGAAAGTCTATCTTACTTGACCCGTCTCCATAGTCACAGTTAGAATAGACACATTTTCTCACTTGCCTGGATTCACTAACTCTGTAACCTCAATTGTTGAGTCATAAAACAACAAACAAAAAAACCACAAAACAAAACCTGTAGATGATTATATTAGTGGAATCTTGCCATTGGCAAAATCCTGTTCTCACCCAGTATTGTGACTGATCATTTTTACTACAAAACCTGGCCTGTATCTTGAAGAAATACTTCTAATGCAAGTCATAGACATTGATGTTTGAACAATATTTCATATTAAATATTAGTTTCCCTTTCTGAAGGATCATCAAGAGCTTTGTTATCCCTGTTGGCAGGCTCTCCATTCTCATTGTTGGTCAAAGGTTCTGCTTCCTTGGAATCGGCATTCTTTAACGCTTTTTGTTTTTCCTCTTCTATCTTCTTTTCCTTTGCCAACAGCCTGTAGTTAATGGCATTACCAATGAACAACCAGATACTTGCCACAATCACAATCACTCCACAGACAAAGTACATGTATTGATATTCACCAGTTACATCCACTAACCAACCTGAAAGACAAAAACAAAAAAAGACAAGAGTAAGTTTTGAGAAAAAGAATAGCTTATACTGTGACTAACTGTAGATGTCTCCATTTGAAGTTAAGTTTTAAATATGGCACAGGAAAGTACTCTTAGGGCTTCTACATGTGCTTTTATGCATGCTTAAACTTAATGTACATTTGCCTAATGCGTATTAAGGTGATTTTGGCGTGTGTCTACACGTGCACAGGCTAAGGCACATTAATGCGGCACCTTAGCAAGTCTACATGTGCGTTAAGGTGCTTTAGTTATTTGTGCCTAAATCTGCTTTGGCAGGTATCAAATTTAGGTGCAAATAGGCTAAAACCACAATTTTTAAGGTGCATTAAGGGTGCACAAGTGTATAACTGCATCCTTAACGCCCCTTAAAAATGGCTAACGCACCTTAAATCAGCACATGTAGATTGCTCTAGATTATTGTTTTAGGTTATATTCACTGACAGATGTACAGTGTGTCTCTAAAAGTTTATTTCAGTATAACTGTTGGTTATTATTGAATTCATCATCCCTAGTAAAATAGTTGAAAGACTTAATGGAAAGACTAGTCAGCAGTGGTAGAATTCAGACCTTTCTCCATGTCCTTTCACAGCATCTGATGAAGTGAGTTTCAGCCCATGAAAGCTTGTGCTCTCTTTCTATATGTTATTTATTTAATCTATAAAAGTGCATATCTAGCCTGCCTTCTGACTGACTTCAGAATAGCATCGCTAAAATTACCTGTCTCAGAATTCAGACCTGTCATTTTTTTTCCATCTAATATTTTCCTCCTGTTGCTTTGGAATGACTGCCGTTGGGACTGCTAACAGCCATTACGTTTACCTCATATACATTTAATAATGAATCTTAAAAAAAATAATGAATGCACTATGACCTGTTGAGGGTAATACGTAATTGTTTGCCTTTATAACAATTTGAAGTTTTGTCCTAAATATATTGAATACCTCAATCTCTGCATTATGCCTTATGATTACTATTAGAAATATCTGAATATTATTAACAAATTATTGCAAGTATACTATTCATTTATTAGAGAGCAGTAGTTACCATGCTAATCTGAATTTAGGCAGAAGGTAGGCAGGGTGGCACTTTTTAGAATAACTCATTCAGAGAGGTATAAATGTATCTGAATGCCTCTGAATAAGTTTGTTTATAATGTGCCATCCTGGTCTGCCTTTTATTCATTTAGTATTGCAACTAATTTAGGCATCCTCAGTGATATTAATAATTTTTTAATGATGGCCTGTCTAGTAAAATTAGGAAAGAAAATTCATTTTCGTTCAAGAGTTCAGCATAATATATTATAGGATCTGAACTAAGACTAACATTTGAAATGTATTGTGTGCCTGGCTCCACTTTGTTTTCCTCTGTTTAGCAAGCAAAATTTAATTATTTATCTTCTATCCCAAATATAACACTTCTTAAAAGCCTGAAAGGCAAATACATGGAGAAATAAATATTTTCTGTTAATATTAAACTTTATTTTAGTGCAGGTTATAATAATATTTGAGCAGATTAGATTTGATCAGCTGTACATGCAGTCCTCCCACTAGGTGGTGTATTACAGATCTGTGTTAAAGTAGCATATTGTATCCCTGACCCTTTCAAATCTAAATGCACATAGTAAAAGATGCACAGGATATTTTGGAATGTCTGTGTAACTACTGAATATTAATGTCAGTAAAATAACACCTCAAAGTTAAAACTGGCCCTCTTTATCCAAAATTAAGAAATATTACTTCAGTATAATAATGCCCCCTATCCTGCAAACACTTTTACTAGTGTATTTAAATTTAAGCACCTGAATACTCTCATTGCCTTCAATGTCATTTCTCATTTGTGTTAATTTGAGCATGTGGGAATGTGTTTGAATGCCTGGTGATTTTGTACTGTTTGGTTGAAATGCATATATATTTTGAATGTAGGTTATATATATTGCAGGCCAGTATTCTGTAATTCTGTCATTTTATATGTATTAATAATTGGCCTAGGATTTTGAAAAGTACCTTCCCCCCCACAAAAAAAGCCTACCTAAGCCTCTTAAAAAAAAAAAAAGCCTTGACTGCTATAATTCTAAAGGTGATTAATGAGCGGTAAAATAGTGCAGGCCAGTGGTCTACTCAATACACTGACGGACAGCTTCAGGGTCCTGTCATGCATGTCCTCATGTTGAGACAACTGATTTTCTTCTTTCTATAAGCTCCATGGAGACTAGCATTCAAACAACACATAGGGACTTTAGTTTCTGCCACCTTTTACATTTTAATGTGTGTGCGTATACTTGTTACTACTGCACAGTAGCATAACTGTCACTGTTCATTGCTACTGGCCGTAGCATCTTCTGTGGACATGGCCACTGAGAGCTAACATTATGGTCTTACTATGACAATATAAGATAACTGTATCCTATTTACAGGTATCTATATGTCTATGAAGGACACACTGCATATGGAGACATAGTTGTAGGTGTGTATGTGCTGTACATGCACAGGAAATCTATAGATATGCGTATAAATCTAAATCTTTGGAATACAAAACCACTTAATTTACCGCAGTGTTACAATTCTAAATGCAAAAGAACAGACCATTAAAATGTTGTGGTTCCAATGGCAACATCAATTAATGTGCATGTATACAATATTTTAGATTAGTATTAATATTCAGTTGTTTACAGTGGGCCCAATGGTATTTGAAAGGGGAACAACAAAAGATTCCTTACCTCCAAGAGGTGGACCGATAAGAACTGGGCAGCACTCCACAATTGTGACAAGTCCCACGGCACTGGAAAACCTGGCAGCACCAACAAGGTCCATCAACGTCTCAAAAAGAACACTGCTAACCATTCCAAAAGCAAACCCAAAAAATACAGCATATATCACCAGGCCAGTGTAGTCTGATGCCAGTGGGCACATGATATGACAGACACCATTGTACAAGACAGCAAAACTAAAGAAATACTGGATCTTTGGCCGGATGAGTTTGGAGTTTGCCAAAAGTCCCATTGAAGGCCTAGCAAACATGTCTACAAAAGCTAAGATAGACAACAAAAAAGCTGCAGAATATTCATCAATTCCCTTATGCTTGGCATAAGGAGCCAAGAATACTATTGGGGCAAAGAAACCAATAAACATAATAACATTTCCTGACAAATAAATTAGAAATCCTCTGTGTTTGAAAAGGGATATATCTAAATATTTATTCAGAGTTTGCCAGAAAGCCTTCTTCTTGTTGTTTTTGTGCAATGTGGAATCTCCTGCCCCTTTTTCAACATCTTTTTTCACAGGAGGGACTGGTTTTGGTCCAACAGGTCTCATAAGTGACCCAGCCACGCAGCAGTTCAGCAGAAGTCCTCCCAGAATAAGAAAGCTTCCTTTCCAGCCAAATAAATTAAAGAGAAATTGATTGAGAGGTGCCAACGTGCTTAGGAATACAGGACTTCCAGCCATAGCTAGTCCGTTAGCAATGGGACGCTTCTTGTAAAAATACTTGCCAATCATAGTCAAGGCAGGCTGCAGGTTGAACGCTAAACCCAGACCTAAGGAGCAAATAGAACATAGCTTTATTGTGCATAATATATACAAAACCCTTCCCTATAATATATTTTATTCAAAAAAGCCAACACATCGTTCAACAAGTTTGAATGAAGACAAAAAAAATCAGTATCAGAGAATGAATTAGTTTCATTGCTTTCCATAAGGTTTACTGTCCATGGAATGTCTGGCCTGATAAGAATGTAATTAATTTGAAAGCATGTCTAACTTTATTTCAACTATGCAGTTGGTGCAATGAAAGATGTCCCCTCCAAAAAATCCTTACTTCTCGCATTTTTCCTGGACCATTATGGCTACAACATCATTCTAACACAACACAAGAGTTTTGACATTTTCCTGTACTGCACTGGAATAAAAGCAAAAACTAGTAATTTTTGAGCAATGATATAGACAAAGGAGCAACAGAGGAAAAATGGTATCGAAACCCTGACTATACCATTTTTATCTTACTAAGCTGTAAAACAGTTTCCTCTTCGTTCACTTCACAAAAGTTTTAAAGTATCATCTAATCAACAAAAATGAGCAGATTAAATTTACGGTTATAATCCTCTCTCTTTTTATCTCTATCTTTATTTGGAGTTGAATGTGTAAGCAAAGTAAGGTTTAAAATGGTTAATAATTACTAATAAATTTGCAGCATACCTGCAAACAATCAGATATGACTGTGGAGGTCACATCCATGAAATCCATGGTCAAGGGGGAGTTGAACTGTTATAGAATATGGGGAAGCCTATATAGGCTTGTGTGTACAGCAGGGGAGGTCCTGGTCAGGATGGAGCTAAACACTCCCACTTACCAGTGTCCACAAGCATGCTCTGAACCTGGCAATAAAGTGGTGGGGCTGCTCTGAATTCACTGTTAAGCCCTTAGGACCTTGTCACACATTACACTTAGCACCTGCTAATTTTAACTGGTGTTAACATTAGCATGCGCTTTGAGCACTTACACATTAAGGGTTAATACTCCTTCTAACCTGCCCTACTTTGATCTGCCCTTAGAGGGCTGCTGGACAGTAGATGCAGAGCTAGAAGCCAAGTTGGCTCAGTGCCTGCACAGCTCACCTGCTCTCAGGGGTAGGGTAGGTGGCCCAGATTGCAGGCAGCTGGGGGCTGTCAGGATCCCATCAGGTATGCCAGCCCCTGTCTGCCCTGACTGGGTCCATGCTGCTCCCCACATTTCCAGATCTAGCCTCCCTGTCAGCTTGGATCAAGCTGGCTGCTGTTCCCTCTACTCCCCACTCCTGGTGCTCCTCTCCTGCCCCTTTGTCCTACCACTCTGCCTCCCAGCCCTTGCAGCTCACTCCTGCAAAAATAAATAAATATTTTATTTTATTTTTTTGCAGGAGCGAGCTATTTCCAGAGCACTATATATCAGAGCACTATATATAGATATATTTGTGGGCCTAAAAGAACTTGTATCTTTATTAGGTATCTTCTAGTCTCTCTGCTACTGAGTTCAAACTACATTATGATTAGGAGCTAAAGTGATCAATATAAAATCCAATAAAAATAACTATACTAAGAGTTGTCACAAGGCAATCATTTTTGTTGTTGAAATTATAGTGCAGCACAGTATGGAACATACATATTGCATTTACTGAATAAAATAATAATGTGTTTCTGAAATATCCCAAGAAATAATTTAATATCCCAGAAAGTCTCAAAGAAATATAGTTCAGGATAAATAAAATGAACTAGATGGAGCGTCTTATTCTTCTGTGTTTGTAGTATGCCTAGCACAACGACACTCTTGTCTATGTCTAGAGCACCTATTCTGTACAATAATATTATAAACATTAAATGTTAATTATAAACATTAAATGTAGTGACAGTAAATTTTGAACAAGTCGCTTACCTCCAACAACACCTATACATATGTAAAGTTCCAGGACACTATTGCAGAAAGAGGATACAATCATTCCAAATGAACACAATATGCCTCCTGCTATCATTACTGGCCGGCTACCATATTTGTTCACCAAGACGCTGCTCATGGGACCTGATGGCAAGAAATGAACAAATTTTCAGTCATGTTGTCATAAATATATTTGCAGTTAGGAATGCGTAGATGTCTTCACTGCAGGCACGACAGGCAAATATTTATGTGCTTGAAGTCAGACAGAGCCATAGTCATGTGTCACAGACACGTGGCTTTGATAAATATTTCAGTCATGAATCTGGATCAAAGGATGTAAGACATGAATGATACAAGCTTGCTTATTACCATTCTCAGGAAGCAAAAATGATCCCAGTCAAAGGAAGACTTGGGAAGGCAGGGAATGCTGAGACAGGCCAGGGTTGGAGAGGATCCATGAAAAGAAAGAGGAATGCAGTTGCATCTGTCTTCAGTTGTCTGACCCATGTGCAGCAAGCTCTTTGAGCTCACCAGCTTGTTGCTGTGGGCTCCTGCTGAAGGCATTGATTTAAAGCAACACCAGAGCCCAGTGGGTGAATGTCATCACCACTCATCCACAATTTTCTCCTGATGCTGAATTCAGAGGAGGTTTGGGGGTGATGAATAACAGCAGCATTCAACACCTGGGCTCTGGAATCTTGCCAAAGTGATGACTATGACAGAAGCTTGCACCAGCATTGTGGTGGATTCACTGCTCATGGGTCGCACCCCTTAAGGGGTGTAGCCACAGTCTCCTCACCCCCATCCTGGATATTTTGATCAGTCAGGCCCATACTGTGAAGTCCAGCTCAGGAGTTGAAACAGAAGGAAGAAAACTATTGCTATTGCAGCAAAAGAGATTTTTAAATGAATCGGATAATAACGTATTTTAATAGTATGGAAACTTTTGGGAATTTTATAGTTGCCTGTTAACTTGTGTAGGATACTTTTAGCATGTCAGTGGGATCACACGCCTACTTAAAGTTAGGAGTGTGCTCAAGAACCTTGTTTAATCAGAGTATAAATCAGAGTATAAATTAAACACAAGTGAAGCTTGACTGGTTCTGAAGATGAGTGATAATAGGCAGCATTAATAGCACTAATGAATATAATAGGCAGACTGTGTTGACTAACAAAGTCTGAGGCACGCTTCAGTGTCATTACACTAAGGCCCCTGTACACATGATATCTATTGCACAGTTACCTTGTTAATTGCACAATAAATTTAGACTGGCAACACGTTCAAATGAACTATTGAGCATTAAAATGATCCCGTTAGCTATAAAGATATTGCTCGAAAATGTGTAATAACTTTATAGCTAGTTTCTGTCCTGCTTTAATTTGCATGTGTAGTCTGCCACTGAGAGAATACAGGCGCTGCAATCTTCCAGCCACTGTGATCTCCCTACTGTGGGGTGCTTCACACAGCTGTAGGGGCTTGAGAGGCCCACAGCTGATGGGGCTCTTGGTCCAAGTTGCACAGCCGGGACAGAGTCTTACACCTGATGGGGCTCTCAGTCCCAGCAGTGTCACACAGGCAGCCAAAACCAAGACTTCCACACCTGAGGGACTCTTGGTCCTGGCTGTGCATGGGCCCCATGACTGGGAGGCCCCTCAACAAAGGGAGGCTCCCAGCCATGGGACCCTGCTTCTTGCTGATGTAGGGGAAGCCTAGGATTGGGCTCCCCCTGTACTGGCAATAAGGCATACTTGGATCTAATGTGTGATCTCACAACCATGCCTCCTGCCATGCACTTGTGGAATGGCAGGAGGCATAATTTTGTGTGAATCACACATTAGATCTAATTGCACCTTTACCTGCACATGTAGAGGGGCCCTATAACCTATAAACTTGAAAATATAGCTACAGCTCTGGTCTTTAGTTTCAAGAATAATTTAGTTCATAGTGTAATTATGTCCACATCAAACAAACAGACACTGGGCATCTAAACATGATGTACACTTACAAGTCCTTTAAATGAATAGGTGGTACCGTACGTACTAAGTGCTATCAGAGCACTTTAAGGATGTAACACAACATCTGATTCTATTATGCCTGGTCCTAATCAGAATTACCAGTCTAGGTTTTGTAAGCATGAAATTCACTACATTTAAAAAGAAAAAAAAATATAAAAGGGAACGAATGCAAACTGATGTTTAAAAGTGGAGCTACAAGAGACAATGGCAGTAAAATGAAATGTCAAGTACTGCATTTGGTTTTCCTGCAAATTATTTTGGCTCTTACATTATATTTGCTCCATAATAATGAAATAAATTAATGCCAGAATATCCATTATAAGAAAAAAGATGGCTCAAAAACTTGAAAACCTATGTTCTTTGCAATATGTTGTTGTTTGAGCTCCAATATTTGACCTGCCCTAAATCTCTTACTGTTAGTAATGGGTTAATAGCAAGTCTCCATGGTATACTATACCATCTTTTGTATAAGCATAACTGTCCATTGAATTCAGTGGATTGTCTGCTTAAAAATCAATTTATATGTCCATTAGGTTGGTTACACAAAATAAAATCTGGATACTTAAAAGGTTTCAAGCACAGTTATACAGAGTCAAGAGGTTTAGCTTACAGGACATCTCATGAGATAGCCAGTAGTCTGGGTTTCTGGGCAGGCCAGAAAAAGTTTTATATGTGATATAGCAGCATTTCTTTTTCTGGAACTAGCCATAGACAGGATTGGCATTCACAGAAGAGAAAAATCCCAAAGAAAGCCTCGATCAAAGCAGTGCCATGCATTGCATCCTGAAGTTTATGAAACTTGTGTGGTCTTATGAACCTTTGGAGGAACAAGTTCCAATCAGGAAAATCCCTTAGGGTTGTGCGAGTAACACTGTATTTCAGTTCTTCAGCAGAATTAGGTGGATAAGGAGATGTCAACCCAAAAGACAATTCTTCTGTATTTTTTTGTTGATATAAAATATACTTATATTTTCATTTTGCATTAAACAAATTGTTTGGTCCATTATGAGATTTATTTACTCTTTTATAAATATGAAATTTAGCTACATTTGTAAATTAACTTTTTCAAACAAAGAGTTGAAATGTTATGTTTTGAAACTGTTGAAACAAAATATTTTGACTTTTTCACCCCCCCCCCCCTGCCATTTTTCTCAGTTAAACCTATTTGCTTAATTTGACCTGAATTCATGGGGGGGAGGGGCGAATCTGAAACTGAACTTTATGACAAACTATTTAAATTAATTTTTTACCCTGCTCTATTCTGCTAAAATGTCAACCATTATAATGAGGGACAAGAAGGAAGATGAACTCTCAAAGCCTGTGTCCTAAGCCATTTAGCTTTTCATACATTACATAGCCCACACATAAAACTTCACCTGGATATTTTCTAATGCACATTAAATTTAGTACCTCCAATGTGAGGTACTGAAAATATGCATTAGGTTGCCTTAATGCACAGTAACAAAGAGATTTCTCAGTTAGTCAGGTCACAGGCTAGTTAGGGGTGTTAAGCTCAAAGCCAGTATGGTAAACCACCCAGAAGGCAACAAATGCCAGCACCAGAGCATAGTGAATAAATGGCCATAAATGAAATCTCTTGGTCTTGGGTGGATGGTGGGTGAAGCCACAAGGGGAAAGTTGAAGTTGTTTGAGTTGCATGATCTTTGCATTTCCATGAAGTGTACTATTAGGCATGTATTTTAAACATCCCTTTTTAAAATTAAAATACATTTGCTGACTTACAAACATCTTTGGAAACTACAATATTCTTTTAAAGTTTTTCACATAAGTTACCGATACGCACTTGCCACCCTAACTCCAGTTTAATTTTGCTTTCTAGGAATATTCCAGTGTTTCAGTTTAAAATCTAACACTTAGGAAACATCAATTGCTATATAAGACATAATGTTGGGTTGAGCATATGAATGAGGAAACTCTATAACTTTTCCAGTTTCCTGCAGCTCTGATAATGGCATTAAACATTTTCTTTTGACATCTGGGTGTACATTTTGGTTTTAAAGTCTCTTACAATACTGTATATTCATATGTCAGTACATATGAATCTACATAAATGCCAGCTGTGAACATCTAATCAGGCCTTTTATGGGAAAGCACAAATTTGATTTTGCATTCACCTACATCTACAGTCATTTAAACAATGCTCACAGGCTGGCATGAATCTATAAATTACAGCAAATTTTTAACCAGAAACATAATTCAGTTACTCAACATCAAATAACAGATCATTGGCAAGATCATGCTAAATGCTAATATGTATTTCATTAAAATCTCATAAAAATCAATTCTGATGCAATATATACATTTTTTGACTCTTGGATGGGACAAAAAATGTTCATTGTCATGTTGATCTTGGACTGGATTTTTGAGTCAATTCTCATTTTAAAGATGACCAAATCTTTAAAAAAAGAATAAAAGGACAATTTACCCAGGTGCATGTGTGGGACAAGGGGATTAGAAGATCACAAAGGAATAGTTTTGGACAAGGCCGGGTCTTTTGGAAGATACTACAGATATCTTTTGGAAGCCGATGACAAAAAGGACAGCCAGTTTTTTGTCCCGTCTCTCTGACCTGCATCCCAAATATGTATATGTTCAAGCTCCGCAGCTTATACTTGGAGGCTTCATTTGTGAGAGACCAGGTAGTCAATATATGAGAGGGCTAGTGTTGATTAATTCTTGCGGTGCGTACGTTTTTGGTTAGGCTGTCGTGTACACCACTCCTGCTGCCTTGAAATTCTTTAAGGAAGCCATCTGCAGGCATGTGCAAAAACAAGGCAACTTTTTTTTGGGTAAAATTATAAAGGATGCGAAGCAGATCAAAAATAACCTCAGACCTAAGGATTTACTTTCTCAACAAAGAAATGAATGGTGGCATAAGATTATGTTAGTGTCCTCTCTTTACACTTGGTCACTTCTAGAATTTCCTTTCTTAGGTCTGCTTACCCACCACCCAGATGTTTTCTTTCCAGTTGTTTACGCTTCTTTTTATCAGACTGGGGAAAAAAGGCTATCTGGGTTCCCCTTGGGGGTGAGTAAGATTTCTTCCCAGTGTGTATCTTTTTCTTAACAGGTACAGACTCTAACAACAACTGTATTACACTGAAGGG